CTGGTGAAGCCTGCTGACCCCTTCTCAGAATCATGTATTTCAATGCAAAATAAAATACACAAGATTACAAAGGAAACTAATTATATTGGGAAAAAATGTAATTTTCCCCCTTCCAAATTTATAGGCCCTTTGGGGATCTGTGGATCTCAGGTTAAGAATCTCCAGACTAGATATCTCTGAGGTTCCAACCAATTCTACCTCTATGGTCCTATGGACTTTGAATGGTGGGAAAGGGAAATTAACACAACTAAGAGCATAATTGGAGAGGCCCTGCCCTACTAACCTTTGACCTATCTATGCTTTGAGTATGGAGATAGAGAGCAGATAAATAGGAGATGATGCTTGCTTTTGAGGGGAGCTGGGAAAGTGTTATAAGGAAGAAATTTCCAACACATGTGGAGACGGTGACTAAGAGGAGCATGGTCAATTTGGAAAGGTTAGAGGATGAGGCTTTTGTTCTGGCTTTGAAGATATGTCCCAATTGAAAGTGTGAACACCTCCAAAGACGACTTTCAAGGACATTTCAAGGACATCCCTTTGCCCTGGGTTCTTGTTGGACTGCTAGCACCATTTTGGAGAAGATGGACTGAGTCATTGCCTTTGGGGATGACTGATTAAATCCCAAATCAGAGTTAATGTAGATCTGAACTGTATCCTTGAACTTGGCATTTAAAGAAAAACAGATACAGATCTGTAGAGTACAAAGACTAGAGATGAGAGACTCCCTGAGATCAAGCTTGGACTGTGTGAATCCATAGTTGGCATCCTGGGGCACAGTGACATCTGTGGAGCCTGGTTCAAGATGTTCATTAACTTCGAGTCTACAGAAAGGAGCTTGTTTATCTTTTTAGAAAGTCCATTTTCCCTTTTCAGGGGCAGATTCTGTTGTTTTAAAATTTTTTCTTTTTAATTTTTTTGTTATTTCTTACATTTAATTTTAGTTCTTTATTGATCTTGTTTTTGCTTTAAAATTACTTGTTTCTTGGGTTCAGACTGAGCCTTTTAGACACCAAAGAAAGCATGAGCCTAGGAGAGCATAGTACAATTGTTTGTTCAGGTGAGCATAAACAACAAGGCAGACCTCCCTCCATTAAAGAAGGTCTGTATCCTTGCAAAGGATTACTGATTTGGGGAGCTGTGATGAAGGTACTGCAGGGAAGATTTTGCCACTGTTACGGACTCTTTGGGGACAAAGGAACTGCTATGAGTGAGCTGTCTAGTACTGGAACCTTGAAAGGTCCCAGAGAAACATCCAGAACTGGGTCTGTAGAACCTGGTGTGATTTGCAGGGACTGCATATGTTAACTGAGGGAAGAATTAGAAGGTATGACCAGGGAGCACCTGGTTAACTTAGCAAAATAAAAGGATGAGGTCTTTGTTCTGACAGAGACTAGGCTGGAAAGATGTACAAAGGAAGAGGTCTGTAGACAGAGATTAGGTTCCTGTTCTTGGGGTGGGGGTGAGGAGTTATTTATATGCAGTCTCTCAGGGAACTTCAGCCCCAGAAATGACAGCAATAGAGAGGCAATGGCAGAGAGGTGAAGGAGTTCCTCAATGATAACCATGTAACCCCAGGGGACTACAGACAAGGCAATAGTGGAGTAATGGGTACTCTTGGACCTAGTCTCCTGAAGATAGGAGGGAATTTCCTATGCTATCTCCTGGAGAAACTTGGATTTCCTGGACAAGGCTAAGTTCTCTGACCAAGTGGAAGAATTCCAAGACCAAGTGGCAGCCACAATGAAGTCTAAAAGCACCAAGAGAAAGAGCTGTGATATGGAGGGAGAAACCTGGACCTTGCCCTCCACTTCTAATGTGAGTTATATGGGTGATGCTCCAATAGTTCTAAGCTTTCTCTTTCCTAGGAGATCTCAAGTACAAAGGAGTACTACAAATTAGGAGGACCATCCCTGGGAGAGGTGGGGCTCATTAAAGAAGGAAAGAGGGTTGTCTTGACTATTTACGGCATTGGATGTGAGTCCTTTGGGTTTTTCATTTTCTATCAGGTGACAAAAATCCTGTCCTGTATACGGGCAATATTGTTAACCTAATGCTTGTATAGAAACTTACCTGTAGAGACCTACACGTGAGCTATAAAAATAGTCAAATTCTGGGGAAATCTTAGGTGGTGGCGCGAACCAGAGAGTGCACGACTAAACCCACTCTCTGTAAACCAAGATCTGAGGTTCTGGGTCGCAGCTTACATAGGCATCCTTATTTATGAGTTCTTATGAGAAAGAATGGAATAATTTCTTGGTGAATAAAGAGGGGATCCACTGATGGGGACCCCATCAAACTCCAAGACTAGGGATATATGAGTTCCCCTGTACTCTGCCTGCCCAATTAGACCAAACCTGGAGTCTTGGGTCCAGGTCTGGGCACCCCATATTGAAGAGCCAGAGAGCACCTAAAGGAAAGGGACCAGGACGGTGAAAAGTCTTAAGATCATGCCCTGTCGAAGGATCAGAGGTAGAGGGGGTGGGGGTGGGGGGGTATTTAATCTGGAGAAGAGAAGACTTGGAATAGGAGGCATGATGGAATAAGGAAGGCCAAGTTCTGCTTGGCCCAAGTTAGTGAGGAGGAGTTTGGATTGATGTAAGGAGAAATCATGAGAGCTATCCAAGAGTGAAATGGGTTCCCTTGGGCAGCCCTAGGAGTCTTCAAGCACAGGTTAAATGGCCACTTGCTGGCAAGGTTGTAGAGAATATTCTTTGTCACGTATGGGCAGGTCTCCACGGCTCAGTGCCCTTCCAGCTCTAAATCTCTGACCCTACATTCCTACATGGGTGCAACAGGAAAATACTGATGGAATTCAGAGAAAGGAAAGGAGCAAATGCAAGGCGGAATAAAGGGTGGGAGAAAGTAGGGAACAGTTACAGGGCTTGGGAATTCAGGGTATGGGAACTAACAAGGATCATTTGCAAGGTGGGGAGGCCAAGGGAAGCACGGGATTGGTACCAGAGAGCTCAGTGGACTCCAAGGGAGTCAGGGATTTAGAGTCACGGATCTCGCCACTAAGGCTGCATGGTCTTGGGCAGCTTACTTCCCTTCTCTGGGGCTCCATTTCTTCATGGGTAAAATTGGAGGGCATGGGGAGCATTGGATTTAATCGGATTTTGGAGGAGAAAACCAGTACGCATATGAATGAATGAACGGACACTTATGAAGTAGTTACTACTGTCCTTAGCATGTGAAAGATTTGTACATACATGCATATATGCCTCTATACATATGTATACATATGTATACATACAATTAAAGTTTACGATCTGGGTTTAGTACTAGAGAAAAAGTGACAGATTTGGTCAAGGGACCTGGGTTCAAATGCTGAATCTGCTGCTACTACTTACTACCTTGTGACCTTGGACAAGTGATTGATTTAGAGCTGGATGGGACATAGAGGTCATCGAGTCCTCATTTTCCTGATGAAGAAATCTGGAGAGACTAAATCATTTAACCAAGGACAGAGTTGGAAAATAGCAGAGTCAGGATTTGAACCCACATCCTTTGCCATTCTCTTTATTAGTCCACCCCCCTCACAAATGCCAAAATGAAATTATTAAGCATAGCCATGCCGCTCCTTAGCTTAAAAAACTCTAAGGGTTCCCAGTTGCCTCTAGCAGACAAAATGAACTTCTCATCCTGGCATTCAAAGACCTTTGTAATCTGGTGCCAGCCTCCCTTTCGAGGCTTGTTACACATAAATTCTATACTATTCACACCTGTATCTCCAAGAAGCCGTGGCATTCAGACTATTATGGCAGATGAACTAAACCGGGTTGAGGGCGTCAAATCCATGGTGGAGTTAGGGGGGTAACTACCTCTAGCCGAGCGGGCAGATGAGAAGGCGGCTAAAGCAGGCGCTGTGAAGCGCCTAGAGCTTGGTCAGACACTGGAGATGCCAACACCATCCACTTCATCCCCCGGCGTCACCGGTCGCCCGCCTTTTGTCTTGACGCTGGACTGTGATAACTCTGGAAGAGAGAGTGAGGCTGACGACTTTGTTCAGCTTTGTCTCACTTAAATCCATTTCACACCTGAGTCAAGACTTCATCCCGAGATATCATCGGTCCTCTTTGGAAAGTCAAAGGATGAAGATTAGAGCCAACGCGTCTCCCACGTACAGAGTGCTCCCCTCTTCCTCTCTGGGTCGAGTCCAGAGCCCACGGCTAGCTTCACAGTTCGGCTCAACCGTAGCCTTTGCTAATGGCCCTCAGCTGCTTGTATTTCTCCTGTTTTTATTCTGTATTCCATTTTATGTGCATAGGTCGCTGCCCTCCTCCGTAGAATGCCCTGCACCCAGCACAGTGCCTGGCCTGTACTAGGTATGTACTTAAGAAACGTTGATTCATTCATTCGTTCATGGACTGTCTCCTCCAAAAGAATCTAAGCTTGGTGAGGTCGGGGAAAGTTTAATTTTTAATATATACACATATGTATACATATGTATAGAGGCATATATGCATATATGTACAAATCTCTCACATGCTAAGGGCAGTAGTAACTACTTGATAAGTGTTCGTTCATTCATTCATATGCGTACTGGTTTTCTCCTCCAAAAGAATGTAAGCTCCTCGAGGGCAGGCCCTAGGACAGTAATAGGTGAATAATAAATGTTCATTCATTCATTCATTCATATGTGCGCATGTTGTCTCCTCCAATAGAATGTTAACTGCTTGAGGGCGGGGCCGCTTCATTTCTGTCTTTGGTCCCCGGCTCCTAGCCCCGTTTGTGGTATACAGCAAGTGCTTAATGAATGCGCGGGCCTGGAGGACCCTCGCTCCCGTGGGGCCGGCTGTGCTAGAAGGTGCCTGGCAGCTGTAAGTCCACATATGGCGCGCGCCCCCACTAATTAGGCCCCTCCGCCCTCTCCCCCGGGCGGGCCCGAAGCCCTCCGGAACTCACTGGGCCTGCTTCGAGTTGCTGCCCGGATCCCCTTTGCGTGAACCGCCCCCTCCTCTCGGCCCCTCCTCCACGCCGCGCCGGGCCCTGTGGTTGCCATGGCAACGGAGACCGCGCTACGGAAGCCGAGAAGGCGGGGGGGGCCGAAGCCGCAGCCAGCCGGAGGATGCTGAGTCCCGATCGCTTAGCGCTGCCCGACTACGAGTATCTGGGTAGGAGCCGCGGCCGTCGGCCGGGGTGGGGACGAGGGCGAGAGAGGGGCCGGCTCCGGTACGGACGCGGGGACCGGTGGGGAAACTGAGGCCCCCTGACGGGCGTCGAGTGTGGGCGGGGCCGGCCTTTGACGGAGGAGGAAACTGAGGCCTAGAGAAGCGGAGGAGGGGCCCCCCAGGACGGGAGGTTCTCGCGGGGCCGGGTTTGAATCTCGCTCCCCGACGTCAGCCTGCCCGTTCTTTGGGGTCCGAAGGCCCCGGGAGGGGAAGGTTCCGCCTTCCCTCCCCACCCCCCCTTTCCTCGTCCGAGGGCTCCGGGAAAGTCCTGGGGTTGGAGTTGGGGGCCCTGGGTTCAAATTCTAGTCCCCTAAGGCCCTGGCTGCCCGCGGGACTTGGAGCCTCGCTGCCTCAGTTTCCTCCTTTGTCACTCGAGAGAGCTGGATTTGATGGTTGCCGCGGGCCAGCCCACGCCCTCCGAGGAGTCCACAGTGCTCGCCCCTGGGGGCCGTCCCGGAGGCCACCCGAGCCCACGCCAGGATAGACGGGGAGCCCGAGGGACCCCGGGGTCTGCAGCTTCCTCGAGCCCCAGAACAGATCCACAGGAGCTGAGGCTGCGGGAGATTCGAACTCAGGGCCCCCGGCTGCCACTGGCCCTGTATACATGCTGGGCAGAAATCTCACTCTAACGTTTGTTGCCACCTTTTTACAGCCTCAGGAGAGTAGAAATCTGTCCCTAAATGACTGTAAGCTTCTTGAAGGGCAGCCAGGCAGTGTGATGGTTAGAGTGCTGCAGCGGACCCGAGTTCAAATCCAACTTCAGACACATAATAGCTGTGCGACCCTGGTCAAGTCACTTTAACATCTCCCAGCCTCAGTTTCTTCCTCAGTAAAATGAGGGATTTGTCCCCTGTGGCCTCCAAGGTCCCTTGTAACTCTAACTCCATGATCTGTGATCTTTTCAGATTACTAAGTGTCTCCCCTGTGTAGTCTAGAAACAAGGGAATAAACAGAATAAAGAAAGAAAATTTCACAGATACGGATATTCTCTGACCTTCGATAAGAGGGAAAGGCCCCTTTCTTTTATAAGAGCTGGTACTTACAGTTAGTTCTTGTTCTTTAGTAATTTCAGCGGTATTCTGCTCTTTGTGACCCCATTTTCTTGGGGTTTTCTTGGCAAAGATACTGGAGGAGTTGGCTGTTTCCTTTTCCAGCACTTTTTACAGATGTGGAAACTGAGGCAAACAGGGTTAAGTGACTTGCTCAGGGTCACACAGCTACTAAATGTCTGAGGCCAGATTTAGTGTTTCTACTTAAATGACAGGAATACCCTTCAGGAAATTAGTAGCTTTCATTAGCTTAGCAGTTAGCCAGGTAAAAATTTGCCTTTTTTCCCCAACAATGTTTCATATCAAGGTCTGGGAATTAATCCTTTTCCCACTGAAACAGTAAGGATTCGGGATTAGGAGTTATGGCCTGATCCTTATCGTTGGAAGGATTCCCAAAGTCCTCTGGTCTCCTCTGTATCTGCACAGGAATCTCTTCAATATCCCCGAAGTATTTCTTTGAACACTTGTATGATGGGCAGCCGCTCTCTCCTGAGGCAGCCTACTGAGCTCTAATGATTAGGAAGTTTTTCCTTATATTGAGATGAAATCTTTCTGCAGCCTTCCCGTTAAACTTAGCTTTGCCCTCTGGGGCCAAGCATCCCAAGCCTAATCCTTCTTCCATGTGACAGCCTTTCAGATACATGAAACCAGCTGTCATGTCACCCCTTAATCTTCTCTTCACCAGGCTATGCTTCCTCAGTTCTTCCACCTGTCCCTCATCCAGCATGGCTTTGAGAACTGCAGTCTTTCTGGTTACCCTTCTCTGCAGCCAGTACTTCCTCAGACGTGCCTGATGTGGCTTAACCAGGCTCAGGTAGAGGATGGCTATCACCCCTCCTTCTGGATAATTGCCGTGTTAGTTTATTTTTTAGGTTTTAGGAATCTCATTGAGGAACCTCATTGGCATTCATTGTTCCATTGGGTCAGAATGTAGTGACAGGGCTAGTTTGTTCACGTGTTGTTGGCCTGATATAAAAGAGAACTCCTGGCCCTTAGGGTAGACGGTACTTCATTTCTAGGCTGTTCTTTTCGGCTGTAGCCTGACAGAGTGGAAGGAGTTCTAGATCTGGAGTCGATGAATGTGGCTTCCTGCCCTGGCTCTCTTGCAGATTAGATGACTATGAAGTCAACCTCTCTGGGCCTCACAGTGTCTATAAAATGATGGAGTTGGATTAGATGATCTCTAGGGAACCTTCTTTAACTCTTTGATCCTGTGACGTCTCCCTTGCCCTAAATTGGTCCAATATGATTGTCTCATGGTTGTCAACATCTCTAGCTTGTCTCCACAAATGGAATTTAACTATTAGGTGTTCTAGGACCCTTCTGCAAGGCTCACTCTTAGCTCATCAGGAAGCCTCCTGACTTCCCTGTGCATGCCATAAGTCCACATTTCTGCCCAAGCACTTGCTAATTTCCCCATTTCTTCAACCAAGGAGAAAATGGGAAAACATAAAACAGATACAGTGTTCCCATTATCTCAGAATAAATCAAAACAATTCAACCAGATGCATAGATCATCCCCTAAATTCATAAAAGATAACCCTTTCTTTATGGTACATATAGGGTGAACAGTCTAGAATATCCTCTGAGTTATTGCCTTCCCCCCAATATATTGTGGATGTCCAAAGGCTCAGATAGCTTCTTTTATGTCAGAACATTGAATCAGGCTGGGCCTGGGAAATAAGTAGCCAGGTTTTCTTTGACTTTGATATGTGAACATTTCAGAAACTAATGTTATAGGAAAGGCAACTAGAAAAAAAACAACCCAAGGAGGAAACACATCTCCCTATAAATGGTGAGTTGTTCTCATGACCTGAAGCCTTTTATGAAGAATTCGTGATTCATCCCCATAATGGCACCATTTGGAAAAGTTTTGTCATGTTCCTATTTGTGATTTTTAGAAATTAGTTGGCCTTACCAGCTCACATTTACCGGCAAGGTGTGTAGTAAGCAAGAAAGGCATAATTTCATAAAATTCTTTTGTGGGGAAGCAGATTTTGGCTCTAGATAAGGAGTACTTCCTAACAATTAGAGCCGTATGATAATGGACTGGCCTGCCAGTGAGTAATGAGTTTTTTGTTACTAAAAATGTTCAAGTGGAGATCTGAGGACCACTTGTTGGAATGAGTTCGAAGTTGGATGAGGTGACCTCAGAGGGCCCTTCCAGCTCTCGACCTTGATGAAATCTCAAAAGAGAAGAAAGACCCCATTAGGGAAGCAGAACAACTTGAACCCTTGGTGTCAGGCTCAAAAAAGATTTCCAGCCTTGTGAAAGTTGCTTGTTGAAAGCCTTTGCCCAAGGCTGAGGTGTGTGTGTATGTGATGGGGTGTGGATGGCTCCCCTGGAGCCCGAGGATAACAAAGCTCGCCGCTCATCGATAGGCCAAGCTGAAGGCCAGCTAGCCAGCCCTTCCACTCTGGCTTCCAAATTGTTCTGATTTCATGATGGCTGCTTCTTCCTATTTAAAGGTCAGTTGAGAATAAGAAAGGAGCCTACCCTGAACTTCCTAGAGAAGAAGGTATGGTTTAGCTGGAGAAGGTGACCAAGAGTGATTTTTAAAATAGTGGGTTATTATCCCACATGTCTTAGTGGTCATGGTGGGGAGTTGGGTTCTTTCCATTCTAAAAAAAGAAAAATGTCCCTAGACCTTGGCCAAATAGCTTTACCTGTTTGGCCCATTGTTTTCTCATCTTTAAAAGGAGGGCATTGGCCTGGGTGGGCTCTATGGAGCTTCCCTCTGTTGCATCTCCTAGGATGTGGTAATCTCTGTTTATTTTCTGGAAATGGAGCTGGAGGGGGTGGGGGGAAGCAGGGTAGATGTCTTCCGTTAGGTGGGTGTGAACAGACCTTTTCTACCTTAACTCACTACAAGTTTAAACTACTTTTAAGTCTCTTACCCTCTATTTGCTTCAGTTTCTTCAACTATAAAATGGGGATAATGAACACCTGCCTCACAGAGTTGTGAGGATCTCATGAGAGAATATGTTAAGCACTTAGCACAGTGGCTGGCATGTAGTGGGCTCTATTTAAAGGCCAATTATTATTACCATAATGTCAGTGACTCTTTCAACCCATCTAGATGCTCCTGTTGACCCTGAACTAAAAGCAAGCCACTGCTTCCAGGCACTTTGTTAGGGGTGAGCATTGTGGACTTGGGTCAATACTAGACTCCTAGCTCCCTGCTGTCACCCAAAACATCTGCCAGAAGCAGGCAGTTAGAAGTGTTTTTCTTAAAAATCACATGCCATTTGGCCTAATTTCTTCATGATGGTTTATCTACTTTTGTTAATTTTTTTTTTTACTTTTTAAAAATAAAACAGACATCACTGCATTCATCTCTTCAAGGTTCCTCTAAGCCCAGCAATAATTTCATTTTAATAATTTAATAGCTTTTGTGTATATGGTGTTTCAAAGCTTATCTTGTTATCTCATTTAATCTTTATACTAACCCTGTGAGAGAGGGCTATTATTATCCCTATTTTACAGAGGAAGAAACTGAGGCTTAGAGAGGTCTGGGGATTTTGCCCACTCCAAGGCCAAAACTCTATCTACCACTTCTTCATCTTCAGGCAGGGGGACTAAGGAAGACCCTTTCTCATGACAGAAAACTCTCAGATGGGGTGGGGAACCTTCGGCCACATGTGGCCTCAAGGCTGCAGGTTCCCCACCCCTGCCTTAGATGGGTAGGCTAACATTTTGGGTTGAGGGCTGTGACAGCTATTTTCCTTACTGTTTACTAGCCTAGTCACCAGAAAAAAAAAGAGGGGTGGGGGAAGGTGGCTTTGGGATGAAATGGAATTAAGTGATGCCACGTGTTGGAAAGTGTAGGGATCTGAAATCACAGGGCTTGGGTTTGAATCCTGGCAATGCTGCTTAACTCTTTTGTCCTCTCT